CCATACATATTTTTTATAAATTGATTAGCATGACATATCTTTTTCAATCCGTCTCCAGGTGTCACCTTTATTTTACTTAAACACTTAAGTATAGTTTTAAATATCCATATATTTAGCCATTTCTGAAGTAAAATATCCCTAACACCTTTTCACATACACTCTTGCCATTAGCTACATTGTACAGGAAATGAGATGGTTACAACAGTACATAGAGAAATAGACATTCCTAACTCCCTTTATATATATATCACTCATTCGATTACACCACCATCCCCAGTTTGACCCTGTAGAGGAACGGTCCACCTTTCGAAAGCACTTGGGTTATAGGGTTTTTTTCATTTCTTACACTTTGTTATCACACAAAGCTTTTCATTATAGCAAGTACAACTAACCAAATAAGTGGCAAGTGTATTTACTAGTGTAAAATTGTCTCTTAGTGCTAAACTAGCCAGACTAACCGTGTGTTTATCAAACTTTGACTTTCAGGCCTGTTTTTCAGATTTTAATGAGATGTTAGAGAACTACATTCACTCCTCAGTTATGGACTGTGTCTATGAAATCTGATTGGCACCATATATCTATACACTATAGCTCCATATATATACTACAGATAGAGGTTTCTTCAAGCTGTAACTGAATAGTGTGAAATCTGCTCTTTCTATTGGTTATAAACATGTTCATCTTCAAAGTGTCACTTGACTTTGCAAGTGGGCATGGTTTATCTTAATCTTAGAAATATTAGAATGTTGTTTCACACAGGGAGAAATTCTTGGAAATTTTCTCCCCAGCTAATGAGAGACAGCTAGAACTGTACTTTGATCATCTGTGCCAACAGTCTATTTTAACAACTCATAGTTTTCTGTGTAAAACCTCTTAAACTTGAAAAGTTTAACACAGTGGATCAAGTGACAGCAAAAACTGCAGTTGTAATTGCCGTTTCAGATTTTTCTTTTTGAAATAAAACTTAGATAATATAAAACCTTAAATTATAATGTACTTGATAATAGTAATTGCATTAAAATACATTTATAGAAAAGTGGTTTAATTCAATTTAATTCAAATTAATTCAAATCTCATGACATGCACAGAAAGGGGTTTAAAGGTTCATCTTGGTCAAAAGGTTACTAGTTGATTTCTATAAATAGTGTTTTTGATCCCAGAACAGGATAGATTTGTGAAGTCTTCAAATTTTTCATACTTACAGAGGAGTTTGTAGCCATTTTGGTGCTCATGTGGGTAGAATGACCCTGGTCTTTCTTTTGATGGCAGCAGGAATGTATGTATCATCTACGGCTTTTCTTCCAAGCACCTTCACCATGTACTTAACAATGGTGTCTTTTGGTGCATGGTTTCTTCACCAGTATGAGGTAAGATTTGATCACAGTCTTATGAATGATTAGGGTAGGAGTGTATTTTTAATAATTTGAGAAGTCAGAATTAGTACAAGTAATCAATAAAATCTTGTTTTTGATGCTTTCTGAAATGTTAACATCTAGTGAATAAAAAACAGTAGGTTTCAGAATTTTCCAAAAAATGTACAAATATGTAATTTATTTAATTAAAGCTTGAAGTTTTGTTATTGTCATGGTGGTTTCCATTAAACATTCTATGTCATGTACTTATTTTATGTTTTGTAGATAGCTATACTAGCAACTGCTGTTAGCTCTCTTGTTGGATGGCCTTTTGTTGCTATTCTGGGGTGAGTAATTATTTGTTTACATGTTTGTTTAGATCATGACTTACCAAGAAAAAACATGCTCAACCTTTCAGCCATGGGGGTGTTATAATGTGATGGTCAATCCCACTATTCATTGGTAAAAGAGTAGCCCAAGAGTTGGCGGTGTGTGGTGATGACTAGCTGCCTTCCCTCTAGTTTTACACTGCTAAATTAGGGACAGCTAGCACAGATAGCCCTTGTGTAGCTTTGCACGACATTCATAACAAGCAACAGTACTAATGGGTCGTTGGTAAAGCAAATTTAATACTCAATTTGTCAGCTTATATATATATATATATATATATATAAATTATCTAACCAATAAAGTTAATTATTTTCTGTCATTAACATTCTCAAAAAAAGAAAGAATATTTATAAATCAGCAGTTACAGTATATATATATGGAAACAAATATATTTTACTAAAGGAACTGATTAATAGAAATAAAACAATATAAAAATGATTTTAAAAATATTTTTAATAAACTCTTTATTTATTACTGTTAATTTAAAAGAAATAAATAAAACCACAAATACATAAAAGTATAACAATATGAAACCAATATTTTTATGTATTTGTTGTTTTATTTATTTCTTTTAAATTAACAGTAGTAAAAAAAGTTTTTATATTGTTTCATTTTATATATATGTATATTTGTTGTTGTTTTTTGATGTGCTACTAATACTACCTTATTAATTTGAGTTTTTACAACCATAATGGGGGGCTGGAATGCAAACTTCGGGAAGTAAGTTTCTTGCTTACCACCTCCAAGAGTAGGACTTTCTCTTATTTATTTTTCATTTCTTCTGAAAGCATTTATCTTCCCAAAGATGTTGACCGGCAGTGAAGAGTGAAATAGATGTGGGACATTGTGGGCTTGAGCACCCACATATTGCTCTCATATTATTTATATTTATTTATTGTATTCTCTTATTATTATTTTTTCTTTACATGTGAAGTTTCACAAATGGAGGTTAAAACTGATAAATGGTGTATCCCCATCTTTGTGTGGGTTCTACATCTGTAGTCTCCTCCAAAAACCAAGACACATCTTATACCTTACAGTATAGTCTGTGCCCTGTTGACTTTATTTGGTGGTAGAAGATTTTTGTTTAAGGCTTGTTTTATATTGTAAATATGCATGTATATATCTTTTTTATGTATATGTACAATATGTGTGTACATATATCAAATCTGAAAATTTATGCCTCTCATATTATACATGTTATTGTCATTTCAGTACTAATGTAGGCACGCATTCAGCACAAAAATTATTTACAGATATTGCATTATCTTTTACACAAAGTGTTATCAAGCTAATATTTGTTTCCAGTTATCAGACAGTTTGGTGAACTTTAGCATGCCCACCAGCTGACTTTTGCAGAATTTTGGACTCTTCTATTTATGTGTTGACACTAGTTTTAGTACTCTCTATTAAAGTAATAGTTATAATTCAAACCTAGTCTATGAAAATAAAATAGAACTCAACTAAATACTCTCTTTTTGAACTGTTGATTAGAAACTGAGAGTGACAGTCAATCCCTTAACGTGATTGATGGATGGCAAGGTGCTGCTTGAATGATTGCCTTCCCTGTGGTCAATAGTTAAAAAGTAATAAAGGTGGTAAATAGCCTTAGTAGAGTTTCCATAAATATAAATATGGACCAATTAAATTTTTCTAAATATTGATTGAATGTAATAGCTGTATTTAATGAATTACATTTTAACATTTGAGATGCACAGACAGGATGTGTTAATGAGTACATTATTGGAATGTTTTGTTTAACTGATTTGTTAAAATGTTGATCCAAATGAGCTGAAATTCTATACTATAGTTTATCATCTGTAGTCAGATTGTTTATACATCTTAAATTGATATTTTACATAATATTTGTCCATTTAAAAATAATGCGTAACTTCTGTTTTTTTTAAATTAAGCAAAAGTTTTTAATCATAGATAAAATAACTCCTGTTTAATAACAGATTTTTAAATAACTTGTAGCAATCTCGGAGATTTACTAATAAGTCTGGAAAATACAGAAGTTTTACAACTTCCTGTAAATTAACAACTGAAAATGTTGGCTGATCAAAATATTCTTATGAAACTATTTATAATTGAACATTAATTTACAACTAGTTAGACAACTTAGTTATAATAATAATAGTAATATCAAAGCTTAAGAAGTATGTGGAGTATGAACATCTATAGCTTCTATGTGGAAAGTATAGATGTAATTAATCAATGAATAGACTGTAGCATAATCAGATAGTACAAGATGAAGTTACCAGTTATATGACAGACAGCCATTGTTTAAAGTGAAAGAAAACATATATATTTAATAATTGTTATCAAACACACTATAAAACAAGAGGGAATCCTCAATAGCCGTGGCACTTGAAATTCTTCTAAGCAGGATTAGAGTAAATTAATCTATGACACCTTTGTTCCCCTTTTTATTAGCTATATTCTTGTATGCCAACAATACCAAACATGGGGCATATGTACACTCAATTATGTTTTAATACTCATCAAGATCTCTACCCTCAAATTAAAATATCTTTAAGCAGGATTAGAATAAATTAATCTATGAGACCTTGGGCATGGTTAATTACATCAGTCGAATGGGTTTGACATCCTGGGTCCAAAATTGTAATTAGATCTCAAATCGGTCAAGAGATGACAGAGCTATGAGCTAAAAGTTTGTACTTAAAAAGTAAAAAACTCACAGCCATTCTATGAGCTGCTCAGCAGAAGCTAGAAATTAAAACTTCTATATGTAAAGTTTCAGCCTCTGACCTGCATTAAATGTAACACATAGAAATACTGATGATTTATGTATATCAAAGATTTAGAAGTTATTAACAATACATTCTGAGCCTCATGTGCTTATGGTTAAATTAGTAGTATCTAAGTTGAGATAAGAGTACAAAAATTGTCTTTTTTAAATTGTATGTGCCCCCCCCTAGTGAGGACTTTAAATGCTAAAAATTGGGTTTTGATACACATGGAGAGTATAGTTCAGATAACCCATTGTGTTACTTTGTGCTTAATAAACAAACAAAAATAGTATGCACAAACTTTACAATTGTAGTAAGTATGATATTATTAAATTTATTTTATTGACAAAGCTGAAATTATATTCCCAGTTTCCTGTATAAACAATTTTGCTCTAGAAAAATTCACAGGTAATTTTTGTTTCTGCTCACTCTCATTAACTAGCATTAACTAGGACTTTAAATGCTAAAAATCGGGTTTTGATACACATGGAGAGAATAGTTCAGATAACCCATTGTGTTACTTTGTGCTTAATAAACAAACAAAAATAGTATGCACAAACTTTACAATTGTAGTAAGTATGATATTATTAAATTTATTTTATTGACAAAGCTGAAATTATATTCCCAGTTTCCTGTAAAGAGTTTAAACAATTTTGCTCTAGAAAAATTCACAGGTAATTTTTGTTTCTGCTCACTCTCATTAACTAGCATTATGTAATTTTTTTTTTTTTTGCTAGGCAAAAAAATCATTTCAAACTTTGCAAGTTTTTAGAATTTTATAAATTAAAACTGTGAATTTATTACACTGTGTTGAACAATAATTGAGTGATTTTTGCTCAGTTGAAAATTATTTTTTTGTTTTACAGGCTGCCTTTGGCTTATGATGTGTTAGTAAACAAAAGAGACTTTGCTTTATTTCTTAAGATTTCCAGCTTCTCTTTTGTAGGTGTTATGGTAAGTAAATTTTGTATTTTTGGTGGCCATTTGAAATGTGAGTCTGTGAAACAAAATTGCATTCTCATCAGATAAACTTCCATCTTAATGTGTTTGTTATAACGTATCACTACAGTGCAACTGGATTTAAATATAAGATTTGTTGATTTTAGCATTTTTCTAAATATTGTGTTAATGAGCACACCAAGAGCACTTTTCATAACCTTTGGACCACTTATACTGTATCTGAAAGTTGAAAGCAGAAACTTCTGTTGTTGTTCTTTAAAATAATCTAAGTTTAAGAGGGGAAAAGTTTGAAACTAATAACTATAACTTGTTTCACTGCCACAGTATTACTCTGTTGAATACATAATTATTTTACAATTATTCTTAAAATCAAAATGGGAGTTAAGTGTAATGAGTCCCTGAAGTAAAAAATGGTGTCTACTTGTATTTTTACATAAAGCATAAAAGCATGAATATTCTTTTAATTTATTACTTGACCCATGATGTCTCCTTTGCTTTTCCTTTCACAAAGTCCTTATCATATAGTACATAATCTTAAAGTGAACTCATGCCATATGCATTTTATATTACCACCTGGGGAATTCTGTAAAATTGGGCAAAAAATTTTGTTCTCAACATTGCAGTAAACAGCATGTATGTTGTAGTATTGAATCAAAGAAAAATACAGACAAAAATCTAAATTTTATTGAAAACTATACTGTAATGAATAGGATTAAAAGAACAACATGAAAGTAATGTTAGTTGTATCCTTGAGATGCATTATAAAGCAATTTCTTTTCACTAAAATTAATGTATTTATGCATCAAAGTATGTTAAAGTAAACAGAGATGTTTGATAGGAGATATGATTTGTCAATACACTGTTATTGAAAGCAAATATATATAAATAATATTGACTTTTTTTTTATTAACACCATTTTAGTTGTTTTAGATTCCTCTTGTGTGGTTGGACAGTTATCATTATGGTCGCCTAGTCATCGCACCAGCTAACATAGTCTTGTATAATGTCTTCAGTGAACATGGACCAGATCTTTATGGTATTCATTATTTGTACTTGTATTAATCTTTATAACTTAACTTTGGGCTTATATGGGCAACATTATAAATTATAAGTAATACTTTAATTATGTTTATACATGTATATGATTGTTGTGTACTAGCTTCTTTTTTTAATTATCTTGTTATTAATATTTCAAAATTTTTCATTTACATTTCATAAAGTTAATAGAGTTGAATTTGGAAACTAATGTAACTAGTTAGAGATTGTGCAATTATCTGTTTTGTTTTTATTTTATAGTGAAGTTTTGTAATATGTATCAGATTTTGTTAAACAAGACCGATGTCTGTAGGTTTACTTTCTTCTTAGAATTCTTCTCAAGAAG